TCGGGAGGCCGAGGCAGAAGGATCGTTCCAAGTTCAACACCAGCCTGGGCTACAAAGTGACCTCAAGGCCATCCTGAACTGCATATTGAGACCTTGTCTCAAAAAAAAACAACAAAAAATTGTTTGTTTGTTTGATTTTTTAATGGGCTGGAGAGGTAGCTCAGCACAAGGACCCTAGATTCAATCCACAGTATTTCAATTAACTAATTAATTAGGATGTCCCTGGCATCTGCTGAGACCCCCGCAGCCCTCTCCCACCCCCTCTAACCTGGCCTTTCTCGAGTTCCGTCCTTCCACGATAAACTGAAGATCCAGCAAGCACTGCTTCCCTGAGCTCTGTGCGGGGTTCTTCACTGCCGTGGGACACAGGATGGAGCCCACGTCCCTGTGCCGTGAGCAGACCGGCGCCTTGGCTCGGGAGCAAGGCTTTTTTTTTTTAACGGTACTGAAGACTGAACACTGGGCCTCTGTACTGAGCTTCACCCCCCAGTACTTGGTATCTTTTTAATTTTGAGACAGAGGCTAAGTTGCGCAGGCTGGGCTTGAACTTGTGACTCTCCTGCCTCAGCCTCCCAGAGTGCTAAGATGACAGGTGCCCCCCACCAGGCCCGGCTACAAGGCTTTTCTTCCTAAGCTCCAGCAGGAAGGAGAGAGCCGTGGGGTGGGGAGACAGAGATCCCAGGCTGACCGCACCGGAGGACAGGACGGTGGAGTGTCGGGTCCCGAGGGCAGGCAGCGCCCGCCTCCAACGTCCTCCCACCATGGGGCTCCACTCCGGGCTCATCTGTGCGGTTCTGCAGTGAACATTTCCATGCGGTGCTCCTCGCTGGATCACCTTAGTCTCCAGGTGGGGATGCCGGGGATGCCCTCACGAGTGGGGCTCTCCGTGTAGGGGCGCCGGCCAGAGGTGTGATGGGGTGGGTGTGCAGAGCCTGCGCCAACGCCTCCGCAGGCATGGACACTCAGAGCCTGCCATCCCAGCCCCACCTAGAGCCGTGCAGCTCTGGGGAACATCCAGTCCCAGCCGTAGCAGGGGGTGCAGGACACCCGCCCCCGCTGGACCGTCCACTGCTGGGTTTACAGCTGGCTGTGGTGTGGGGAGGTGAAGCCAGGTGGGAGCACATGGGGCGCTGGGGTGGGGGGCTGCACACGTCTCCCATCCCCTCCTCCCGCTCCTTCCTGCCGGCCCTGCCATGGACTGCTCTCCCCCACGGAACCCTCTGCCGAGCCGGGAGCTCTGGGTCCCTTCGGTGCCTTCTGTGTGTGGTTGAGGCGGAAGGCAGTCATTGATCCGGCTGCACACGTCAGGTCCGCAGCGAGGTGAACTGTTCTCCCAGCTCCAACGCCTGCCGGCCACGGGGCACGGGGTGATGAAGCCACGGGCTGCCACCCCCGGCCTGCCTCGTAAGCCCCAGCCCTACGGTTCGCAGCTCCTGAACCTGGGAAAGACGCTGAGGAGCCACGTTGGGCTCAGCCGCAGGGGACACAGATGGGACTCACTGCTGAGTCCGGCTGGGAGAGGACACGGGGGCCCTGGCGCAGGTGCGGAGGCGCCGGCTGGCAGGACGGGAAGAGCGGCGGCCCAGCCCCCTGTGGTCCGGCGGCTTGGTGGCGCTCACTGGTGTGAGGATTTCTTTTTAAAGCAAAGGCGACTGGGGCTGGGGATTTAGCTCAGCGGCACAGCGCCTGCTTGCAAGCGCGAGGTCTTGAGTTCGATTCCTGGTACCGGAAAAAAATAAAAATAAAATAAAATAAAGCAAAGGCAACTTTTGCACCCCAACCTGCCTCAGAGGAAAACACAGGCCCAGGGCCGGGGGTTACCGCCCGCCCTCCCCAGGGTCCCTGCCAGCCCCAGCCTCGCCAGGCCTCGACTGCGGCCCACGCACGGAGCCGGGCCTCGCTGTGGGCCCGCCGGGGTCGGAGGGAAGAGAGAGGAGGGCGGGAGAGTCTCAGCCCCCGGGAGCTCGGAGGGCTCCACACGCACGCCCACACGCATTCACATGCGTTCACACGGGCACCTGGGCCCCGGCTCCCGCCCCGAGGTGCCCACCGCACCCCCCTTCTCGGGCCGCTCCGTGCCCCGCGGATGGCCCCGGTGCACCTCTGCCGGCGGCCAGGGCGACCTCAAAAGCGTTTGCCCGAACGAATGAATCAAAGGTCAGAGATGTCTGGCTCCCAGCCCCAGGGCCGCCACGGCTGACAGCTTCCCCGCCAGCCCCGAGGCGCCTCACCCGCACCCCGCTCTGCACACCGCCCGCCAGCCGGAAAGCGGTGACCCCGAGTCCCTGGGCCCTCGGATGGCAGGGCCCAGCAGGAAGAGCGCCGCCGCGTCCTCGCCCGCAGGGGCCGGGCCTTCCTTTCCCAGGGACGGACAGCACCTGGCACATCGCAGATGCCGGACGCTTGTTGTCTTCTCAGAGAGCAAAAGTCCACGTCGTCCAGGGTGCCCTCGGGAAAGGCCCTGTCCACGGGCACAGAGGACACGAGCTTTGGGAACAAAGCAGCCCCGGCCCTGGCAGGGCGAGGGAGGCCATGCTGTCACCGGGGGAGGGAGCGGCCCCTGCGCCCCGGCCAGAACTCTGACACACAGGGCCTCAGCTCTGTCCTCGTCCAGGGCCCCCAGGAGGGACGCTGGAGGGGGGGACAGGAGCCAGGAGCCCAGAACAAGGACGCTGCGGCCCTGGACCCGCTAGAGCGGCACTGTCCAGCCGGCAGGTCTGGGGTCTTGGGCACAGCGTGACCTTTATCTGGTGATTGTCAGATATTTCTGTGTAGTCATCCTCACTCGGTCTGTGCTCCGCAGCTTTCTGCTTGGCTGTTTACTTGGCCTCCTGTCCCCTCTACTGCAAGACCCAGACTCAAAATGTAAAATACAACAAAGGTCACTGGTAGGGTGCCTGGGATTCAATCCCCGGCACTGCAAAAAAAAGTAAAAAGAAACAAGCGAAATTAATTTAAGTATTACATTTTAGTTAACACAATACAAGCAAAGTATTATTCGATACACAGTGAATGTTTTTATGTTTTTGTGGGTTTTTTTGACACAGGGTCTCCCTGTGCGGTTCAGGCTGGCCTTGAGCTCACTTTGTAGCCCAGGCTGGTCTCGAACTCGCAATGATCCTCCTGCCTCAGCCTCCAGAGTGCTGGGATTACAGATGTGTGCCACCACGCCCGGTTTATGCTTTTTTTTGGAGACAGGGTCCCCCTACGTAGCTCAGATTAGCCTTGAACTCCCTGAAGTAATCCAGGCTGGCCCAAACTCACAGTGATCCTACCGCCTCAGCCTCCCGAGTGCTGGGATTACAGGCGTGTGCCACCACACCTGGCTTTATATTCAGGCTTCAAAACCCTGTATTGGAGCCGGGCGTGGTAGCACACTCCTGTAATCCCAGTACTCGGGAGGCTGAGGCGGGAAGATCACAGCAAAGAGTTGGAGGCCAGCCTGGAAAACGTAGTGAGACCCTGTCTCCAAAAAGGGAAAAAAAATAAAAAGGGCTGGGCGTGGTGGCGCACACCTGTAATCCCAGCACTCGGGAGGCTGAGGCAGGAGGATCGTCCGGAGTTCGAGACCAGCCTGAGCTACAGAGTGAGGTCAAGGCCAGCCTGAACTGCATAGCGAGACCTTGCCTCAAAAAGACAAAAAAAAAAAAAAAAAAAAAAAGGAAGGAAAAAGGCCTGGAGATGCAGCTCAGCGTGGAAGTCCTGGGTTTAATCCCCAGTGCCGCTGTTTTTAAATGCAGGTGATAATCTAGGCAGTAGGTTGTGGTTTTGATTATTCGCTTTGATTAAATGAAGCGGGGCCCTACACCCTGGTGAAGGGGCGGGCGGGTCGCAGGGCAGGACACTGCGGACCCCGCTGCGGAAAGCCAACCTGGCCAGCGAAAGCCCACCTCGAGCACCTAGGGAAGCAACACAGGAAAGGCAATCGCGCCAGAGCACATACTGCGCAGGCGCACTCGGAGCCACCACCGCTCCTCCGCAGCCCAGTCACCGTCCACCCGACTGCGCAGGCGCTCCGACGCACCAAACCTGCCCTCCCCTCCCACCTCTTCCCGAGTCTGGAGAACGCCCTCCCGCAATGGTGCCTCTGCGCGTGCGCCGCGCCCGCGGACCAATCGGAAGCGGCAACGCCCAGATCTGGGGCTGACGGAGGCGTAGGCGGGGCCGCGACGTGAGGGCGGCGCGCTGGCGTCACAGGGGCGGCTATATAAGTGAGCACAGGCGCCGCCCCTCTGCCCCAGTCACTGAGCCGCC